AAAAAATTTCTGTAATATTAAAATGTTGAAAACATATTATTTTAGCGATAAATATTTATTAAAGTTACAGACAAATTATTATGGAAGAGAATAGTAAAAATTTTGTTATAGTATTAAAAAGTGGAAATGGTGAATCAATCACTGTAGAAGTTTTACCCCAAGATACTGTTAAAGATCTTAAAGAAAGAATAGAAACTCAAACTGGAATCCCTTTAGATTTTGATCAAATTAAAATTGATGGGAAAACATTTAATGATGACACAAACATTATTGAATATTTCTCTTCAGGTAAATTACAATACATGTAAAATTCTTCAAAATTTTTCATTTAAAAAAAAAAAAAAACCGAGATATTTTTTTTGTCATGCTGCGAATAAAAATTAACAAATTTAGATGAAATTTTAGAAGGTGATGAATATGAAGAAAATCAAGGTAATGATAAAGATGTAAAAGAAAATTTAATCGCTTTGGAAGAAATAAATATTCCATCTTATACAGAAGATGATACAATTTTAAAAGCTTCGACAAGTTTTTGCGAAAACAAAAAAAGTTTATTTTGTGCTGCCATAGGATGTAAATCTAATAAGCTTGAAGACCCAAATGTACAATTATTCCAATTTCCAGCCCAAAAAAAAAGGTATGCATTAAAATTTTTTTTTATATAAATTACAATCAAAAATCTATTTATAAAATCGTTTTTAAAAATTATTTAAATTCATTTCAATTTAATGTTTTTTTTTTTTTTTTTATTTTAAGGTGTCAACAATGGCTTTTGGGTGCTCAACGATTTGATTTAATCCATCAATCACTCGGTTATTTAAGTCACAATTGGGCATTATGCGGAAATCATTTTACTAAAGATCAGTTTCTGACAAAAGATAGAAGGATCTTAAAACAAAATGCTATTCCAACAATTTTTGATACATCTAAAGAAAATGAAGGTTTTACATTGTTATTTACCTTATAATAAATTAAAAATGTTAATTAATTATTTGCGACTAAATTACTTTGATTATGTCAAAACAATGTTGTATACATAACACATTGATTTACTTTTTTTTTGTTTTCAAGGTACAGAAACCAATCAAGAAAATCAAGAAGTTGATGAAAATGAAGTTGTAAGCCTTTAATAAATTATTCATTTTTATTTATGATAGATAAATTTTACCAAATATTTTTACATTAATTTTTTTTTAGAACGAAGATGAAAAAATAGAAGAAGAATTAGAACCTTTACATCCGGGTGCATTTTGCAGATTGTGTGGTAATTTATTCGAAGGAACTGATTCAACTTTTATATTTAGTGAAGATGGGGAAAAGAATAGTTTAGCAGAAAAAATCAATTCCTGTCTTCCAGTATCTGTATGTTATTCATTTCATTTTTTCCTTTTTTTTTTTTTTTTTTATTATATTTTGAAAGTAAAACAATTTTGATTTTAGGTACGTAAAACTGACCCCCTACCCAAACAAATTTGTATTTATTGTTTAAAAAACTTAGAAGCTGTTCATTTATTTGCTGAGACTTGCATAAAAGCAGAAATCAAATTGAAAGCATTGACCAAAAGATTTTTGTAAGTGTTAATAAATTTCTTTTTTTTTTTTTAAATCTAAAACGAAATTCGTCAATAACGGTACCTTTTTTTTCAGGGTTCATCAGTTAAAGAAAAATTCAAATGAAATAAAGTCAGAAAAATCATTCTGCTGTCCCCTTTGTCGAGATGGAGCAATGAAATATCACGGAAATCATAAAGAATTAAAATCTCAAAATTTTATTTGTCTACAAAAACAACCCGAAGAAAATTCCATGGATATTCCAACGGGTTTTTTACCCGTTACCAAATTCGAACCAGAAGATTCTAGTCACGACTTCATTAACGATCTTTACAGTGATGACGATGAAGGTTCTTGCGATTTGGACAACAACGGCACGGAAGAAAAAGAAAAAACGTATTCCTCAACGGAAAAAAGTGACGTTTCCGTTTCCCTTTACTTGCAAGAGGACAGAGTGGAAATGCTTTACGAATGTCCTCTTTGCGAAGAAAATTTTGCGAGTCCGTTTGAATGTTACGAACATTCTAAATACCACGTGTCACCGAATAATTATCCGTGTTTAGTTTGCGGATTAAGTTTTGTGACGGAGGAAAAATTGAAAGAACATTTTGGCGGGCATAAAAATAAAGTGAGCAGCACGCGTAAAACGCCATACAAACCCATGTTGGAATGCGGAGCGTGTAAATTTCAATTCACGACTAGAAAAGATTTTATACTACATAAATGCAGCAAACCCATTCTTAGAATTCTTCAAAATAATTCTGTCAACTTGTACTGTCATTCTTGCGATCAACATTTTAAAACGTTAGAAAGAGCAGAGCTTCACAGAGCTTACCACGAAGGTATCGAAAAGTTGGCGTGCAAACACTGCGAGGAAAATTTCGAAACTCAAAAATCTCTAGACTATCATATTAAATTTCAACATGAAAATCAAGAGCCCTTCGTTTGTCAACATTGCGAATTTAGATTTTTTAGCAAAGAGCATTTTGACAAGCATAAAAAAGTTCACGAGTTGACGACGTACCAGTGCTCGTTATGCAATAAAACATTTAAAGATTTGGAAAAAATAACTAGTCATATAGAGAGTCACACCGTGAACAATTCGGAAAACGTGTCGAATTTGAATTTGAAATGTCCCAAATGCGAACTTCAATTTACAAAAAAAGCTCACTACCTGTATCATTTAGAAAATTTTCACGATGGAGAAATGAACAATTTGAAGAGAATGCCTTCTCTCATACAGTATCAATGTAAAATTTGTTCAGAAAGATTTACTCTGTCCCAAGATGTCATAATTCATCGTACGGTTCATTGGAAAAGTTACGATTCGTGTCTTCCGCACGTTTGCGAATATTGCGGAGAAGCACATCCTAGTCCCAATGCATTGGCAAGACACAGAAGAATATTACATCCGGACGAACAACCTTACGTGTGTACGATATGCGAAGAAAAGACGAGAACCTTGTACGAAGCTCGGGTTCATAGGAAAACTCACACGGGTTACGTGAACACGCCACAAAAACCACCGTCGAAAATTTACATTTGCGACAATTGTCCGAGTTTGTTTTCCGACAAAGCTTCATTTCTCTCACATAAGAAATCACACAGAGTCACCAAAGGTTTCCAATGCGAATTCTGTCAAAAGGTTTTCCCGGAAAGGCATCGTTTGGTAGTGCACAGACGTCAGCACACGGGTGAAAAACCATTTTCCTGCGGAGTTTGCGGTAAAAAATTTGCTCAAACGTCGGCCATGTACACTCACGCGCTTTTGCACACGGGAGAGACACCACATTCCTGCGATTTGTGCGGAAGGAGATTCCGAATCAAATCGGACAGGGACAATCACCGAAGGACTCACACGGGAGAAAAACCCTACAAGTGCCCGTATTGCGATAAAAGTTTCAGAACGGGTCAGGTTTATTATCAGCACAGGATGATACACACGGGAGAGCGAAGATTTCCCTGCGACATTTGCGGGAGAGCCTTCAAAAGATCTCACACGCTCGTTTGTCACAGGAGAATACACACGGGAGAAAAGCCAAATATTTGCGACGTGTGCGGAAAAGGTTTTCGTCAGAGGACGGACATGAGAAAGCATAAAATGAACCTGCACGGCGTACCTGCTTAATTTATATCCCATTAATTATTTTATCATTTTTTTTTTTTTTTCAGTTGCGATCGATAAATATTGTTATCGCGGCGGGAAAAAAAAATTCGATTAAAATCCCTAATTATTTTTTTTAGGTAATAAGTAGACTTTATTATTCGCGTTAAATTATTATTATTATTATTATTATTATATTTAAAAAGGAAAAAAAATTGTTAATTATTTTCTCTCTGAAAATATTTCTTTTATTTTTACGAATTATAGTTTGCTAAGTTTTTATTTTTTGTTAAAAAAATACCCGAATGCCGATTTTAGTGTAATTTATTTAAATTATTTTCCCTTAAATTTTTTTTCAATATTCAATCGATTAAATTTGATATAAAAAAAAAATAAAATTGAATTTTTATTAGAATTTTAATAATTATCCCGAAATATTGTTTTCACCCGCGCATGCGCACACGCACATCGAAAAGAAAAAGAAAAACATGGAAATTTTTTTTTCTTCTTTTAATTTCGAATAGGTTTGACAGTTAAAAATGTTTTCTTTTTTTTTTTTTCCTTTTTCCTTTTTTTTTTTTTTTTAAATAATAATTTAAACGGCAAAAGAAAAAGATAGGGTACCATTTTTTTTTTTTTTATTTTCCCTAATACATTTTGAGGAGGCATGGGAAATAAAAAAAAAAAAAAAAAAAAAAAGTTTTCAGTGCCAAGCTTATAATAGTAGTAAAATAGTGAAAAGAGTTGGAAAGAGAGGGATTTGCCCTTCTTTTTTTTTTTTTTTTTTTTCAAACAACCCCAAACCCGGAAAAAAAGTTAAAAATATTATGAGTCACTCTCCTAGTACAAGGGGAATGAATAGACGTACGTACGGCTGTCAGAAAAGAGAGAGAGAGAAAGAGGAACAAATAGGGGAGCTTCCCAAATGCACGACGACACTCATTCTCCCCCTTATATTGAAATATACGTTGGCGCGAAATTTACTTTTGCGGATGATGAGTTGAATCAATTATTATTATTATTTTCTTTTATAAATTAACAAAAAATATCATAGAGTAATACAAGTTTGAAAAAAGAAAAAAAGAAAAATACAAAATGGAGCCTAAATTTAAAGTTGTACGTTTTAAAAGAGAGACGCATAAAAGCAAAACGAGTGGTTCTCCGTGACCTTAAAAAAATCCAGCCATGAAACCCAACGTTTAGAGTTAGGCAACAACAACTAACTAAAAAATTCTTTTTTTTTTTTTTTAAAAACGGCACCAAGGATTTGTTTTAGCCAATCAACGCTCTACTTTCTGCTCCTAACTTTAAAATTATTTAAAAAAATAATTTAAAAAAAAAAAATTATTTAAAAATCGCCAAGAAATTAAAAATAATTTACTTAAAATAAATAAGAATAAGAATATCGTTAAATAAAAATTAAAAAAATTATTTTTTCTTCTTCCACGATTTTTTTGTGAGAAGAAAAAGCGGTTTTCTTGTTGTTTTTTTTTTAAATTCATGTTGGCGCCTTTATAAATTTCATTATTAATAATAATAATAATAATAATAATAATAATAAATAATAAATTTTAATTCGCAAACTACATACTACCAACCAAAAATTAAAAAAAAAAAAAAAACCTAGCAGATGCAGTTCTGTCAAATAAGGGGACAAAATTAAAATCCGCATGCAGCTGCATCCTCTTTCCTTAAAAATTATTTTTAAAAGACAACATTTACTATTTTAATTATACGTTCAAAACCATTTTTTTTATATTTTTCCCGATTGTAAACATAGATGTTTTCAAATGACGTGGGTTAAAGTCTTCGTATAGGAGAAGAAGAAAAAAATAAAAGTTGAATGTATACATATAAAAACGTTTCCACCGCCTTCTCTACAAATGTGAATTTTTCTAGTGCCACTTTACAAAAACAGGTTGCCATTATGGCTTATGTATTATTTCTTCGTATATTATTTGTTTTTAACGTATGAAACAAAACTTAACGTATGTTTTGTTTGATAAAAAAAAATCCCGTATATCTTTTACGTTTTCGTTTTTAATATATATATATATATATATATATATATATATATATATATATATATATATATATATATATATATATATATATTTAATTAATACGTTAATATTCATTATTTCTTAT